ACGAGAAGACGGTTGACAGGGAGGAGGGAAGAAGGGCAGACGAGGTCGATGGAGTCGCAGGAGGGGCCGAAGATTTTGCAGAGCTCCAGCTCGTCCACTAGGAAGGGAGGGGCGGGACGACGTGCGTCGAAGAGCGCCGAGCTGGCACTCAAAGAGCCCAGAGAGTCCGTCGAACAGTCCATCTCGTGCTCCGATATCGACGGTGTCATCGGCCCCGACGGATATCCCGTCTCCGTGAACCCGTCCCCATAGAACACTCCCCCCAGCGTCAGCACCTTCGGCTCCACAACCTGATGATCAAAGATTATACAGTTGAACGCCCCATATACGCCGTCGTTGATGTAGTCTAGTGACCCGTGACAGAATCAGCATCGGTAGACGCTTTGCCTGTCAAGACACATAAAACTCGACTTACACATGGTTACTGGGGAATCTTGATCGTTTTTCTCTGCAGCAGCCACATGGTCTGGGGAGCCGAGCGTTTTCGCATCTGGTGGGGGCAGTGTGGGTGCCTTCCTTCTGGCAATGACATTGGTAGCGAGTTCAAAGGCACTGGTGACAAAGTAACGACCGGGTTCTGCAATGACGCGCACGCCGCAGCCGACGGGGAAATACTTGTCGAGACCGGCAAGAAGACCTTCGGCGAGGATATCGAAGTTGTCGTCCCCAAACCCTCCGCCGACGTCGAGCAAGTCGAACTGGAAGCCAAGCTCCTGTGCCAGTTCGAAGGTCCACTTGGCGCGGCCGACGGCGTCGATGTAGAGTTGGGGATTGGAGCAGCCGCTGCCGACATGGAAGGCGACGCCAATAACTGTCACGTTCAGCTCCTTGGCTCGTTCCAGGAGGGCGCGTACGTTCTCGAGTGGGGCGCCGAATTTCTCGCCGAGCCGACATAGACTGCCGCTATCGTCCGTGAGAATCCGGAGGACCATCCGGGCGGTGGGATGGAACTTGGCTACCTTCTCCAGCTCGTCCTGGTTGTCGAACGTCATCATCTCAACCCCTTTGCTATGGGCATGCCTGACGAAGGAGCCGGCCTTGCATGGGTTGGCATAGATGATGCGACCGGAGAGGACACCCAGCTTGAGTACCATCTCGATCTCCGCGTGAGATGCACAGTCGAAGCCCATGCCCAGTTGGGCCAGTAGCTTGAGCACCACCTTGTCTGGGTTGCATTTGACCGCAAAGAACGGCTCGACCCTGCCCCCCAGCGTGTGCTGCCAGCGAAGATATTGTCGGTAGACGTAGGCCAGGTCACAGACGTAGAAGGCATTCTCGCCGTTTTCTTCGCATTTTGAGGGATCGATTCCGGTCAAGATGGATCGAAAAACGTTGATGGTAGGGTTAGAGTGGATAGGTGGTAGTGGTTCTTGTTCTTGCTCTGTTTTACTAGTATGGTTATTTGTAGAGATAGTCTTTCGTCGTTCGGAAGAACGAGGAGGAAAACCGTTCATCTGTGAGGGAGAAAAGCGGAGGGATAAAACCGGTTGAAGGCCTTCTTGTATTTTTTTTTTTGTTTTTGGTTTGTCTGCAACTGCTGGGGGATGCTGGAGGGATTTCTAGAATCCGACGATGCCCCTCCCGAAGGCGCTCGTCTTGTTTGAAGGGTAGCCGATGCGGCTATGGGTCCTCGCCCCCCTTTGGCGAGGAAAGCTGAGGGCGGTCAAGGAAGGCGGGAAAAGGGATGGAGAGATAGCAAGGAAAGAGGTCGAGAGAGAGCGCGGCGGGTTGTTGTTGTTGTTGTGAGGTTCTTCGCTTAAAACGACTTTTCTTGTTTCCCGTCGGATGCTGCGAAAATTGGCCGCGACTGCCTGACTGACTGGCTGGTTGGCTGGGAGCACAAGCCCCTCAGCTGGGCTACCGACCTGGGCCTCAGGACGTGTCACAGACCTTTCGCAGGCGAGTCTTGTGCGCGTCTCAGGGTGGGTCGGTTCAAAAAAAGTACAACCCGTGTTTCTAGGTCGGAGAGGGTCGGGTCGCTTTTTTTGAAAAACTGCCGACCCGAGTTGCGCCATCCTCAAATTATTGGGTCATGGGTCGCGAAGGGTCTGGTTGTGGGTCGGTCCATGGGTCTCACATGTTAAAGGCTGATTCATGATGTGAGGGTTGGAACTTGAGAAATTACTTGATCCTACCTTGTTTACTCCAGTATCCTGTCTGGGTTTATACCATGCCTTCATACATCAGCTCAGTAGGAATCAAGAAGTATTACTTAGCACTGGCCACAGCCTTATAGTAAATTATTACGGTCAAACATCTTAACTTTTTTACACCAGTAACCGGTCTGGGTCTACAAAACCCAGAATAGCAAAAAGCTGACCCGCCTCAGCCCAGCTGGGTAAAACATTTTCCTTATCTCGCCCGACCCAAGATGACCGGCTTGACAAGCAGACAAGGGTGGCTTGACAAGCAGACAAGGGTGGCTTGACAAGCAGACAAGGGTGGCTCCAGCTCGACACGCACAGCCGCCTTGGAAATCTCAGCCAACTCTTCAATGCGCGTGGCGGCAGTGGTTCCGTTGCAAGTACGCGTTGCACTCAACTCTCAATCAATCCTCAAGACAGTACAGCATCCATCCAAAATGCGCTTCATCTCATCCACCGCTCAACCCGCCATCACTCTCCATTCAAAACCCAGCGAGACCAGACGAGCCCGGATGGAAGACCTCTCCAAGTTAATGAACGAAATAAGTCTGCGATGGGCCTCGCTAGTGCGCTCCAACCTATCGCTGGTAGACCTGTTGGAGGACCCCAAGCTGCCCCCGGCCACCAATGGCGAGAAGCGCAAGCTGTACGTGCGCTCCCTGCCCGGCGACCCCGACTCCCTCAGCACTATCCGCAACAGGCTCTGCCAGGAAAACCCCGCCGGCGAACTCCATAACCTACAAATTTGTGAACTCCCTCCTAGCCGATACATCACCGACCTCGCTGACCATGGTACTTTATATCTCCCTTACCCCTACGTCGTCCCCGGTGGCCGCTTCCAGGAGATGTATGCGTCAGTCATCTTTCCCCGCATCATCTCTTCTCTCCTCCATCCCTCCATAGCTAAACTCTCTTATTTCAGTTGGGACTCGTTCTTCATTGCCCTCGGTTTATTGAGGGACAAGCAGGGCAGACTAGCCCGGAACATGCTAGACAATTACATTTACCAGGTTAGTGAAAGCGGAGGGGTTTTTTTTGTTCGGAGACTTGCGGAAAGGAGCTGATGTGAGGAAAAGACATACAGATCGAGCACTACGGGACGATATTGAATGGGAACAGAACGTACTATTTGACGCGATCGCAGCTGCCCTTCCTTACGCCATTGATCAAACTAATCCTGCCGACGGTGAATGCCACCGTGCGACAGGCCTGGCTCAGCAGGGCCATCGCGGCGGCAGAGACGTACCACCATTACTGGACCTCCGGCGCCCATCTTACGCCATCCACCGGCCTTAGTCGCTTTTTCGACTTCGGCACCCCCGGCACCCCTCCCCCTGAAATCATCCACGAGTCCGACCCCGTAGACGGCTCCTCTGCCCACGACCGCGTCAAGAAGTTCTTCCGTCAACATTACCACCAAGGAATTCCTGACTATAGTACGCCCCCCCCCCCCCACTATAGTACGCCCCCCCCCTCCCCGCATCATCATTTTCCACACCGCTGATACTCATATTACTCCCTCCTGGTCTTTGAAGACATCTCGGAATATTACAATTATGAGAAGGATGAATTGACGGCCAAGTTCATGGACAACGACCGGGCCATGCGCGAGTCTGGGTTTGACACCTCGAACCGGTTCGGGCCGTTCAATTCGAGGATCCTAGACTTCAACCCGGTCTGTCTGAACTCGCTAATATATCTGATGGAGAAGGAGATAGGGGAGCTGTATGGGGAGCTTGAGCCGACGCAGGAGAAGGATAAGGCGACGCTTGAATGGCTTAGGACGTTATGGGCGGGACGTGCGGCTGAGCGACGTCGGCTTGTGCAGAAATACAATTGGGACGAGACGCACGGATTGTACTTTGACTATGACTATGTGAGAGAGCGACGACGGGAGTATGTGTTTGGGACAACCTTCCTGCCGCTCTGGACTGGGCTTGCGGAGCCGGCGCAGGCTGCACGGGCAGCCTCGGTGGGACTGATGCAGCTGGAAATCCCGGGGGGGTTGTCGACGTCGGCGGTAGTGCAGGGCGACCAATGGGACAAGCCGTACGTGTGGGCGCCTCTGCAACTTTTTGCCGTCGACGGCCTGGCCCGATATGGGATGCACTCAGAGGCGCATCGTCTCGCAGCGAACTTCGGCTCCATGGTCCTCAAATCCTGGCTGGCTAATGGCTCCCTTTGGGAGAAGTATAACGGAACCAAGCGCGACTCTTCCGTCGATCTCAAGTTCGGTTACCCCACCAATGAGCCTGGATTTGGCTGGACAAACGGTCCGTCCCCCTCTTCTTCTCCCCTCTCTTCTTATCTTGCGCTGACGCTTGGCTTGTTGGCCAGCTCTCTTCACACACTTCTACGACCAGCTCAAGGCCGCTGGAAAGCTCGATCATCTCCTCCTCCTCGACGGCCTTCCCGTCCCCCACTCCTCCTCCCGAGCTCCTTCTCCTCCTCCAGCCGACCTCGTCCAATTCGTCGACGACGCCGAATGGGTCCATGTTGTTACTGTCCCTTCTTCCTGCCCTCCTTAGCCTCCCTCTCTGCTTGGTTTATTGTCCTCCTCCTTCTTCTCATTCTTCTTGCACACACTTTTTCTCTCCCCTTGCCAAGTAAACTTTCCTCTACACATTCTCCCCATCCTTCACTTCTTCTCTTCTCTTTCTCTTTCTGTTCTTGTGGGAGACGAAACCTTGGTTATCATCGTGGTCATCTTATGTGTGTGTGATTGATTGTATTGTATTGTATTTTATAACCTTGTTGGCCACATTTCCTTGTCCCCAAAACCAAAGTGCTCTTTTTTGGGGAAGGAGGGGTGCAGACGGCGCCCGGGGGCGGCTTCAGTTCTTGGCCTAAAAAACACGTCCCCGGGAAGGCTCGAACTTCCAACCTCTCGATGAAATGTCGCCGTCAGATGTGAGTATCCTAGAGGATGCACTGCAGAAGCAAGCTGCGGCTAGTGATAACAGTCGAACGCGCTAACCAATTGCGCCACGGAGACCCGACGTCCGTGAAAGAGTCTCAGTCACCATTACAAATCTAAAATGATCACGCTAGCAATTTCTTGGTTAGACTCTAGCTGTCATATAGGTAAATCAGCAATAACAGAAGCAGAAAAGGCAAAAAAAGACAGAAATGCTTCACTTTGGTAATCTCTGTAGAAAGAATCAAGAAAAGCTATAGAAACAAAGATCTAACTTAACTACAGAACACAATTGGCCACAGAAATAAAAATGCAAGTGTCATAGTCAACAGTAAAAGGCCTGAAGAAATATTTGATAGGAACAACATCAATTCACTCTGTTTTCATTTGTCTATATATCTTACTAGATGTACAATAGATCCAATATCTATTTCACTATCCTCTTCTCAGACACTAAAATCTCTTCTACAGATTTTAGGTAAACATGATTTCTCTTATTTCTCTTTAATTGTTATAGCAACTATTGCATTTCTCTTTCTAATGCAAAATATACTTTTAGTTGCTGGTATTCCTTTAATTTCAAATATTCATCACCACTCTTGATCTTGAGGTCACAAATTAAACAGCCATCCTTATAGCAGAATGTGAAGTTCCTGGTGCATCAAGTCTCTCTAGGAACATAGATGTGTACATGCAGGATGGACATTTTAGGTATGTCCAAAATGTTCATGGTTGATTTTTAATCAACATTCAAAACTCCAGAACCTAAGACTTGTATAACTGAATAAACTCTAATTATGCATAATCTTTTTGGTCCACCATAGTTGGTGCAGGCCAAAATAGCATCTTTCTTTGAAATATCCGCATAACAACATAGCACATACTGTTTCTGACCAAAAAACTGGAAGCAAACCTGAACAAGGGGGGAATCCTTCCTCCACCAAAAATTCCCCATTAATTCCCTGGAACACCATGAATCTTCATCTCTACAAGATTTATTTTTATATGATCAAATCAAACAGCTTTTCAACATATCTTCCTTTAGTTTTCAATAAACATTATGCCCATTTTCTACCTGAGAGATGACCAACATCTATTTAAATGGTTTGAAAGCTAGAATTATACAGTTTTGGAAATCTTCTCAACATCCCCTCCTTTTTACACCTCCACTTCTTTATTGAATTTCAATTAATTTAGGGGGCTGGGTACGCGACCCCCATAAATTGGATCAGCGACCCCCAAAAGTCGCGACCTAATTT